TGAAGTGCAAAGAGATTAAGACCTAGCAAACATGTCAGTGCAGAGAAATGCCCACTTTGGCACAACCTGCACCTAAAACACGGGGTCATTTTGGCTTCGGGCAGGTTTGCCAGCCTAGCCACATCAATTAGGGACACAACGGTTCCTCCTACTAAATTTGTTATCAACCCAAGTTATTGCATGCATGTAGGTTCAATTCTTGTGAGCATCAAAAGCCCTCTTTCTTAAGCATCATTTGGACAGATGGTTTTTCCTACGTTTGTGAAAGGTTTCATTTTTCAACCTGAGGAGGTGGGATAATCACCTCCTAATTAACACCAGCTCTCAGCATGGGACTGGCTGCAAAGCACGTCCTTCAGGGATGTATCCAATCTTCTCACGCAGATTTCAGACGTTAAACAGAAATCTCAAAACCACTGTTGTTTTGGTTAATGTCAGGAAAATTTGCGTTCAAGAAAAATATTACAACTGGAGTTACAATTCTGCCCCCATTTTAAACCCCCTCCCAAGAAAAACCTGAACAAAGGCTGCTCAGAGCTCTGAGTCCATTTTCTTAGGAGGTGAATCACACATACCCAGAGAATAAAGTGACAATTTCTTCACGTTTCTGAGTTATGAATTGGAAAAATAGTCTCAGCAACACAGATCAATGGGAACTTCAAAGAGTAATGCGGACCATCTATTACCTTTTCTCCCAATTACCGTCCTTCTGCTGAGAATTGCATTTTATGTGCCTTCTAGGCTTCAAAAGCCAGAGTAGGATAACAAAAAAAAAGCTCATGAGAGTTTTATCTTTTTATTGAACCTAAACACTATAGAGCCAGTTAAGTTGGCTGTAAATTCTGAGCTGCTGTTGCAGATGGGCCCAGGCCCATCATCGCTACGGAACCGTGAGAAATTATTTTTCACTTTGTAGCCAAAACACGAAAGGAGAGAGGCATTAACAATATTGGTTGGGGTTCATCCAGCCCCAAAACGAAGTTTAACCAGCTAAACATTTGGAGAACTTACTTCAAGATGACTTTGTAGCTCTTGTCCAACCCCATTAGGTCACGCAATCTTTTCCAGCCTGTAAGAGTGCATTTTTTAGCTGGCTGTAAAACAAAAACACCATTTTAAAAGTTACGAACAGCCCTCAAACATGGTTTTTTTTTTTCCTGATCAGTTCCTTCACTTTTTGTTCAAAACGATCTGATGCATTTTATCTCCATCAATTAATTATTTCCACTAAGCTGCAAATGATTTATCCTATTTTGTTAGGTGAACTTCAGCTGTTCATTAAGTTATTTCAATTAATGAGCTTCTGGAACCTATTTTTGAAGGGGAAAAGGAGAACTCATCTCTTTCCTCTTCTTTTCTGCCGGAGACAACAGAGAAACACAATTCCATCATCATTTGCTCCTTCAGGTGGATGGTCTCTCCCCGTAGAGGCCAAACCAAGGGTTCTGCTGCAGCAATGGATTGCACACAAAGCAGGCAAGAGCTGGGAAATGAGGACAGTGGTGCCTCCAGAGTTGTTGGTACTTTTCCACAGGTTGTTTTTCCTTCTTTCTAAGCCCAGACCATCAAGTGTCCAGCAGCTCCCATTGTTCCTAATTGCCCCTGCTGGAGAGTGAGCATTTTCTGGCCCGTAATTTCCTCTGCCTCAGAACACTGCACACGTGGGCTGTGCAGGGAGGCGAAGGCTCTCAGCCCTGTGGAAGCACTGAGATGAGGACCTGCCCTTTCAGTTGTGCTCTCCATGCTGCCCAGGGTTATGCAAGTGAAGTAACAAACCATCCCATGTCTCAAGTGCTCTGCTGCTGCTGTGCCACAAAGATTGGCATCCTGGCCAGCAGCAGCTTCATCTCTCCCTGCACAGAGTGCACAGCCCTCTGACGGCTCGCTGTAGGGCTGAATTCAGTGAGGTGACCTTTAACGACCATTAACCAATCCTGCTCAGGTCAGCCTAGCCTGGTTACCTGGAATTAAGGCTTTATTTTACAGGGCACTGATAACAATAGGGGATATTCAGCAGATCATCTAACAGTTAGCTGTGAATTAGCCCACACACAGAGGGCTGGGGAGCTGGATGGGAGAAATGCACGGTTTTTCCTCCCACTGCAAATCCTGCTTCTTTAACCTCTATCACCTTACTGTTTCCCAAGTCATTCCTTATCCACCTTACAGTTTGTTCTCACCCTTTGTTCTCATGCAGTTCCACGTCTACCAATACCAAAGCAGTCCTTGAGGGATCTGCTTTGCAACATCCAACAAAGCAAGATTTTGTCCACCAGCAGCATTCAGTGGGACCCAGTGCATGCACTGCTCCTCGCACGGTGCTCTGGACAGGAGGGCACTGCTGTATTGCTGCCCCAGCCCACACCTGCATCCCTAAAAACATGCAATAGATGCACAGCTCTCACCACCCCTGTCTGACTCACCCACCCCTGGAATGAGTTAAAAACCCGTTAGAGAACTTGCAGACTGGTTGACGGGAAGGGGAGATTAAATTTATGGGAAGGTGAAGATCGCTTTCCAGTCAATGACATTACGTGTGGGTTTAAAGTAAAGCAAGTACTGTGCTGGATCAGAGCCAGCATGCTTGGGGCAGGTACCAATCAGAACAACATAAATTGCCATCCAAGAATAAAAGCAGACAAGTGCTTACTTTGCTGTAGAGCGTCCAGGCAGCTGGGCTCTCTCTGGAAGAGTTGTAATTCTCCACGAATGCAGCATCTTATGCTCAATGCACTGTTTCTTTGCGTTTCTCAGCCTCTCGTATACCACTAAGCACCAAACTTCAAGCAAATTCGGATGCGCAGTGAATGTCTGATGGGGCGTCTTCATGGAGGAGGAAAGATTCCTTCTGGCAGCAGCAGAACAGAGAGACAAATGGCAGAAAGTTGAGATCAGTCACTGAAAACAACTTTGCCATGCTGAAATAAATGCTTCTACAACAGAGGCAGCGACGCCTTAAGTATTCGCAGGGCTGAAACTATAACTTTAACTCTGGCTGGTCAATGGCTTTGATTGAAAAATCATTTCATTTAAAGGCAGACTGCTTTGTTCTGTGGCTGATGGGCTTGGATTGTGCCAGTGACACAGTCCCATGGAAAAAGTCAAAGCAATAAGTATGAGCATTTCATGTAATAAAATGACTGTCAGCATTATTAATTTTAAAAACAAATATTTTGCTTAACAGAGCAAGTTAGTTGCCAAATATATAGCTGCCTTATTAGCATCAAGATTTGACTGTAATGTTACAGGTTTACATTAAGTTTAATGCATCTGAGAGAGGACAGCATGCCTGCTGAGGACTGAGCACATCCAGAATGCAGACGTGTCATTTGGGCCATCTAAGCAAAGGCATCCTTGTTAACTGCAGCTGTAGAAAACTGTAATTTATACACACCATGACAGTAATGACAATTTCATTCAAAAACTGCATCGAGGTTGGATGGCTGCTGATATGGAAGAGGTTAGGAGGTTTGCTTGTGCAAATCACCAAAACATAATGGTTCCTATTTCATGCTGCAATGGGAGGCTGCGTGGGGCTTCAACATGACAGCCCCTGCCTGACACATGCCATCAGTGCTCCCCTGGGCAGCACTGCAGGACACCTGGGGACAGCCACCTCCAGGAGTGCTTCCGTGGACTCGGTCCCTTCTCAGACTCGAGGAAAGCAGCACTGTTTTCCAAAATACCTTCATTTGGACAAATTGAGCGGGGTAAGGTGGGAGCCTAGCAGTGCCTTGTTGGAGCAGCTGAAGGGCACAGGATCGAGCTATTCAAACGACAAAGCACTCAGCTGCATCTGTGCTGTGGACCTCTTCCAAGCAGAGAAAGCAGATCAGGCCATTTGGTTATTTACATTCTACCATCTCTCATCCTTTTTAATATTTAAACTGCACAAAGCGTTTTTCCCTCTCCTTCCAAAATCTACACAAACTCTCTACACAAAACCTGCTGACGAAGCAGGTCGTTGCATCCCAGCAGGTCTGGAGCAGCCTCTGCCCACAGACCTCATCTGCCACTCCTGAGCCACTGCCAGCATTCAGGAAGGAGGCAGAGCTGCCCGAGAGGCTCCTCAGCACACACTGATATTTTAGGGATTTTAATCCAGGTGCTGTTAACACCCTGGGGACAGCAAAGGACTGCAGAGAACTTGGCTCGCTCATATCTGTGTGCATCCTCCTGGGGTGGTTCTGTGCCATTCTCTCACTATTTGGGTATGCTTGCTGTACAGCGTGAGTTCACCCAAGCTGAATTTTTACTGCCAGGTGCCTTAAGAGGCCTCAAATTTGGGCATTTTTAGAATGGGAAACTACATTGTCAGGGAAATAAATGCTTTTGTATCACACTGGATTTATCAGTGAAGGAAATCGGATGGTATTTGGGAAAAAAAAAAAATAGTAATGGAATGAACTTACTGCAGTAATGAGGAAGCCCTGTGCAGCTGGCATGAGGAGCAGCAAGGTGAGGAGCTGCCTCTTCCTGACTGTCCCTCGTGGCTCCAAGGTCACACTGGGCAGCTGCTGAGAGAGGAATCTGGACAGTCAAGGTGCAGCTGATCAGCAGGACTGGGGTACGTAACCTTAAGCTGTCCCTTATTAAAAAGGTGCAGTTGCACAGCAAAGAGTTTTACCAGATCCCAGGCTAATACCATTGGGTTTGGTCTTTAATTCCAGATGCACATCTCCCACCGATGTCAGCACGTTTTGCATTCTTGCAAAATCAGCACCTTTCTACAGCAAAATCCCACACTCAGCTGTAATGGGGACTGGGTGGCCAAACCTCAGAGAAAAATCCCAGGCAAGTCTCCTTTTTAAGCTGACCTAAAAATGAATGGCATGCAGCAGAAATCTGACAAAGTGCTGCATGACTGCACAGCAGCAAATACACTGATTTTGAGACATTGTCTGTGTTTTTGTGCACATTAAATATACTTCAAAAATACAAGACTGAAAACAAAGACCTCCTAGGTTCCATGGTACAATCCTATGCACAAATACAACGTTCACATTTAAGTGATAGACTTTGAGGAGGAAACACATTCATATGTCCTTTCTGAAACTTACTTTAAAACATCTGTTCAAATATTGTGGCCGTGGGGGTCCAGCTCTGTAAAGGCTGAAGCAGCTGTGCTGTGACCAGAGCCAGGATCTCTGCGTTTTGCTGCCTGTGCTCTTGCATAAGGCATGGGGTTATATGAGGCACTGCCACTTCACTGGCTTTGGCAAGTTCTAAAGAAAGAAGTGAGAATCTTTTTAATTAAAGCTATCAAGTTACCTTGCAAGGGCTGGTTCTCACTGCAGATAAGAAGTGGTTCTCACACATCAGTTGGTACATGGGATCCTTAGGGCAATTTGTTCATGTGTCCGCAGTCCAAATTTCCCTTTTTAAGCAACACTCAGCATTTGACCTGCAATGACTTCACTGCTTTCCTGCCAACGCTTTCCAGGTGTGTAAGCTCCTGTCAGAGTGGGGCAGGGATGCTCAGCTGCCTTCTGGTCTTCTCCTGGAAGCTGGGATGGACAGCTGCTGCCTCAGCCCCCTGCAATGCCACCAGCAGAAGGTTTGGGCATCCTGGGACACAGAAGGATCAGGACTACACATGGCCAAGCCTCAGCACTGATAGCTCCCCAGGAAGGCAGAGAAGTCATTTTTCACTTCTACATTTTCCTACTTGTGAAGATATAACATTACGTCTTAGAAAAAAAAATCTTTTAGTCCATGAAACATTCCTGTCTAAAAAAAAACCACCTTCCCCCCACAAACAGATTTGAAACCCTCCCAAAAGTGCATGTTTATCAAATTTCTGAGAAACTGAAGAACTCTAAAATTTAATTTAGGATTTAGTTTTCCTTCTGTAGCTTCTAAGCCCTGCTAGAAAGCTTAAGTATTTGAGTTTGCAACACAGATATTTTCAAATTTATTGTCAGTATGACAATGATTATGTAACCCACTGAGATCAAGAGGAGCGAGTTAGTGTTTTGGAGGCATTTGTCATGTTTGATAAATGCATTTGGTGATTCAGGGCAATGAAAACGTGAGATTTCCAGCCAGCGAGAGGTAAAAGATGCCAACTGATACACAGGGTTATGGCAGTGGCTGCAAAGGGTTGCAAAAACTTTATTTGTTTCTCATTTGAAGTTTTGGAGGAAGATGGGATCTACTTTATCCGGCTTTTCAGGTTGGAGTTGGATATGCTGTATGGACATTTCCAATGCCGTGACCAAACTCAGTTGGGAACCACAATACATAGTCTTCTGGTTCCTGGTCTCCTGTTTGTCAGCCTTTAACTCACCTTAGACAATGAGATGTTGGGGAGAAACTCATTTTGAGACCTGTGGCATTTGGGCATTCCATTGTAAGCCCAGGAGAAGCTAGAATAAGCATTTCTAGAATCCAGTTCAATTTTTGTACTATCACTGAATACTCAGCTTTCAGCAAATAGCAGATGCCTGTATCAGATGTGCTGAAATGGCCCAGTATGGAGGCAACAGAGACAATCAACAGCTCTGAAGTACCATCCCCACCTCTGACAGCACCAGCTCCCCAAAATCCATCAGTGCTACAACAATGACTGGTAAGGGCCACAACAAAGACATCTTTCCCAATGGTTTGCTATCAGGCATTCATGAAGCACAAACTTATAGCAACTGGGAAGGAAATCCCCTAGGCAAACAGCATTCTCCATGGATTCGAAAATTACCTTTTAGCCAGATGTTGGCAGGCAAAGGAGGTTGCTGTGGTGATGGAGGGTAGGGACGACGGTGGAGTCACAGTGCAGCCCCGCAGCATTGCACCCATTGCAGCTCCATGTTCTCACATCATTGGCATCTCTTGATGAAGCTGTATTCTGAGGCAGTGCTGTAATAAAGGATAAAGGCAGTAAGTTTTCTAGCACTGGAAATGGAGCAGCTCTGCTTTTTTTTTTTTTTTTTTTTTTTAGGGTGAAAAGATTTTTCTCCTATTGCCTTACAGCCCTCGGATCTGACAGGTGCCTAAAGCTAAGGGATCTGCTTTCAGAAGAAACCCACACCTGAAATATGGAATACACAAGAGATGCCATGTTGTATTTTTCAGAAATCAGATTATAAGAACTCCCACAGCCTTCCCACATCATGTCAGGTCAGATCACCACTCTTTGCCTGCCCAGGTTCCCCTTCAGACTCTCCCCAGCATGTTACTCATCACCCAGCGCTGAACTGCTGCTCACAGAGCTCTTTGCTTTATGCACAAATGAAGCTGCCTTCAGCAGCGAGCGGATGATGTTTCAGTTTGACAAACTCGTAAATCTTTTAGGGAGCCCATCAAATGCAAAGTGCTGTGTGAGTTCAGGCTGCAGCCCATTGGACTCAGCGAGGTGCAGGGAGCTGATGGCTGAGCAGCAGGCAGGGACATGGCCACCAGCTTGGGGTGCACCAACCTCCTCCCCACTTGTGCTGCAATGTCTGCATGTTTCCATCCAGAGTTTTTGCTGAAGCTTGATGGGATAAATTCAAAGGGATGGTTACAATGGGATATATTGTCATGCTAAAATGAGATCTACATGCATGCATTTATTGAAAGCTTCTCTAGAAATATTACAAGCCCAAGCATGTTCATTTGTTTTTCAGCTGATGCATTTGGTATAAATTTTGAATTCCATCTGTAAGATCCACTAAGAAATAATGTCCATCCACTACAACCTGTCCCAACTGCACAGCTGTTTCCAATCTGAGATCCCCATGACATCAATCAGGGATGCTGTTCTTAAAAACTAATAATAATGACTCACCAAAACTAGTTATCTCATCCAAAACATTGGTAAAAGCTTTTGGTTTGCTCCTTCTCTATTATTATTGTTTCCTTTGACTTCAGGTTTAGGAAATAATATGCATATTTTGATTCATAAACTACTGAGCCTTAAAATGGTGACATTAATGCCAATCTCCAAGTCTACCCCATTTAAATTCCTCTTCCAGGGAGGAAATAAAAAGGCCCCGAGGGCTTTTTAGCATTTTGAAATGTGAACATTTTGCTGTTCTCACACACCTCACTAAATTGGCACCTCTCTGCCAGTGTGTCTTCTGCAACAGATGAGGAACAAAAAGGGTCCTTGTGAGCACTTCCAATGCCTGGAAACCCAGTTTGTCTGTGTGTGAGCTGCAACAGAGCAATATTTCCCATAGTTGTTATGGTCTAAGCTGACAACAGTCAGGTTAGATATTACTTAAGGCAAAAATAAGAAAATTGAGGCTCCTATTGCTTACATTCATGGACGCCTGTACGTAAATTCAGGTTTGCCAATGTTAGTTCATCATTCTGAAATATTTTAGTCCGTAGCTTTCATATAGAAATACTCTGTATTAACATAAGGTAGAATGAGTCACGAGTTATTCAGGGTTTCCAAAGAAAATAGTTTCCATTCATATTCAGCAAAAGCCAGCTCATGTTCTGCTGCTATTAGCTGTTTTAATTGAATCCAAAGCTCAAGTTTCACTTAACGAAACCAGTTTTAGATATACAAGTGCATGAATCCATATCAATCTATATAGTGGTACTTATGATGAATAAATTGATTTTTTCATTGCTCTGTGTTGGCTAAAATTATTCGATTATGTATTTAGCTGCTAATGGAAACTCATTAGTAGATTTTCATTTCGTGCTTGTTTGCACCTGCAATCCATTTCTTCTTGTCCAAGGACTGTTTCATTTAGGTTGCATGCTATAAATTTTCTTGCATATAAACTGATAAGCATCAGCCAAAATTCAGTATATATGGACTGAAATAGTTCAGGGCCATCATTTTTATAACAGCATCATTAAAGCACCAGATCTCCAGTGATTCATTGCCATTTATTACTGTGCATACTGATGTAGTAACTTGCCTGTTAGTTCCCTGGTTAATTTGGTTATCTGTGCTGGTAACAGCCCCTTGACATCCTCCTACTCACTCTTCCCTGGAGTTCTCCTGGACCCCACAAAGCTCCTGTGCATCTTTCTCAAGTTGGGACATAATGGCAAGTGTCCACGTGATGGAACCTCAGGCACTGAATCTGAATGCAGGAATTTATTTTGATTTTTTTTTTTTTTAATCTCTATCAGAACTTCAGTTCTGCCTAACTTTGGGTCTCAGCCACCACTGTCACATTTTATTTTCATATAAAACCAGCATAACTTGTTACATTTCAGCAGAATTATTCCAAATTGATCCAAATATGAGAAATGACTCCATTAGCGCTGTGCACTAATAGAGACCCTGCAGGGACAAAACACAGCGGCTGCAAAAATACCTATCAGTGAGTTTAACTCAGGCTGCATTCCCACAGATGTAACTGAGAACAGGCATGGATTCTGGATGCAGTTGTTAAGTGGCTGTGATCAATAAGAATCTAATTTCCAATTAAATACAAGATCCCAGGTATCGTGCGTTGCCAGCAGGCCAACATCATTCTGAGACACACTGGATCCCAGCACTTAAAGTTGTGTTGTTTTTGCTCTCTCATAAATGAGCCTTGCCAGCATGCAACCGCAATCCTCGCGAACTCTGCAGATTAAATTTCCTTGCAGTAATGACCGCTAGGAATTAGCGCTACGTTAATCTTCCCACCTGCTGCGTTTGATTATACGTCAGTCTAATCAACCTGATTACAAAAGAAAGCAATTCCTGCTCTTGTGGGTGTTTTTTTTTTTTTTTTTTTGGTGTCTGCTTTGTGTCGTTCTGGAGGCACTGTAAAATCCGTAGCTCATAGTTTAAAGTGAAAGTAATTATTAAGCTAAATGTAAAGCGGAGCAGCGGAGGCCGGCTGTAATTGCTTTACAACAGATACAGTAATTGATGCTCTGAGGATTTATTTCTAAGCATAGAAGTCGAATTAGAAACTGAGCATTATCTGGATTTGTGTGGCTTTGATGAAGTCTCTGCGTCTCGATTTTTAGCTAAACTGTTCTTAATGAGACTGCTAATAATCACCATCAGACTAAATTCTTTTAGGGATACAAGAGCATAAAACACAAACGTTGCCATTCATTTAAGAGACACAACCTGAAAAATGACAGCGTTCTGCTGCGACCCTGAGCTGCAGTAAGCAGGGCAGGAGGGAGCACACAGCTGGGTTCACCCACAGCAGCCACGTGGGGCACTGAAGGCAGATCAGAGCAGCAATCTGAACACCTTAATCGCCTTCCTTGTGCAAAATATTTGTTTGAGCCCATATGTACTGACCTACAAAAGGAACACAATAAGAATTCCAGCTGGTTTCTGCAGCAGCCTGCTGAGCGGGTACAGCACTGCAATGGTATTTTTCTTTCTGCAGTCTGAAATCCAGGAAAATCCACAGAAATCCGAAAGCACACAGAACACAGAGAGGGGAGCAGCGGATCGTTGCACCCCCTGCTCACCCAGCAGCCCCACAGTGCCCCCCAGCTGTGCTCACACCGTGCATGGAAACACAGTGCATCATCAGAAACCACAGTGCTGAACCATCTGATCCGATCTATTACAGCTGGTTATCCGAAATCATTTGGAGCCCGATGAGCCTTATTCCAAGGCAAGCTTAATATACCCGGAGAAATATGATGCCAATTATTGAAAGCAGTGTTTCTCAGCACTTTGCATGCACAGAGCAGGGATGGGGAGATCTCCATGGTGACAGCGTGGAGGTAGCTGGGTTACCTGAACAGTAATTTCCATCCTCTCATCTGATCTTTGTGGGCTTTTTGCTTTTCATCTTTCCCTCTGAATCTGTTTGCTTTCTAATGGAGAGGAACTGACAAATATCCTGATATACCTTAGAGGAAAAGCACATCTTGTCTCCCAGTATACTCCTGCAATTTAAGTCACCTTAGCAATTTGTGCTCGTGATGGCAGGGAGTTTGCAACCGTGAACATCCAGCCAGCTTTACATAGGACCAGAAGCAGAATGGGCAGTGCCTTGCTAAGGCAGATCCCCAAAACCTCCCCAAACAAAGCTCATTCCCAGACCTCACTCAGGTCCCCCTAGCCCAGCCCTGCTCCAAACACCACCGCAGAGCCCACCCGTCCCCTCTCATCTCCATCACCCCTTCCTATTGCTCCCACGGTGCCACAGAAATACACAACGATGTGAGCACCTGCTGAGGCCAGGGCTATTGTAATTTGTAACACCATATCCAATTCACATCACATTTTGGAGAAAAATCCCACCGAGATCTCCAAGCAATCTATCACACCGAGGCAGAATTGGCTTTCATTGATTTCAGAGGGGCATGCCACAGCCACAGGGATGATGAAAGCCGCTGCTCCTGAGCTGCAAAATGACTGCTGCCCTTCTGTGCTTGTGCTCTCTAGCCACGTACCTATTAGAACAGCTGAGCATTATTCACTTTGGCTCATTAACATCCTCAGCACCTTAACCAATCTCATGTTTCAGGCTGCATGGGAATATCCTTGCAAGACGAACCGCAAATCTGTGAGAGGAATGGCAGAGCTCACAGATGAGCCCAATATCCCACTCCAAGCCTTTAAGCACCTTGTTAACACAAGGCTGCCGTTATTTTGGGTGGCAGAGGCAGCACTAATGCATGTCAAGGCCATACCATACACCTGGCCCTTGCATTTCCCTCACGTCCCTGCAGTGCTCGGTGTCGGGGTGCACCATGTGCTGCCCCCAGCAGCACACAGCATCGTGGGGAGGAGAGAACAAAAGCAAGTGCCAGTTGCTGTGCAATCACCCAATTAACTGCTGCGTTTGGGGTTTTAATCTGATTCTGCTTATTGCAGAAATAAATAGAATAGATCATTACCACTGATGTTCCCAGTGCTGCACAGCCACCTTCCCTGCCCCTCTCTTTAAGGTGCTGTGTTACTTAACACCTGGTAGGAGATGCAACAGCACATCTTCAGCTGACTTTACATTAGGTCTAAGTTTAGCTCCTGCAGGTAACAATTTCTGGTTAAACTTTAATAACGAAGTATGTTTAGAATCTCAGGGGCACACTCTCTGCTCATTTGAAACAAATGAGGATTATATAAGGAAGAACATGAGCTACAAATAGGATTCACACAATTAATTGGCTCTAAGCCGCAGCAGAGCGGTGCAGGAAGCAGAACTGCTGAACTCGGCTGTCCCATCTCCATGAATCCCTGCACACCCTGCAGGGTTTGGGGATGGCACAGCTGGGAGGGCAGGCCCTGCACAACTCAATGCCCCAGCCGATCTACTGGTATAACAGGTGCAGTCCCAAGGATTCACACACTCTCACAAATATTTCCATTTATAGGATGCAACATTTTTAAGCTGTGCCTCACAGGAGTACCATGGGTGTTGCAGACAAAGCCTGGAGATGCATGCAGAGGTTTTGCATCCTGCACAGTCCCTCCATAGCATTTGCAGTGAATACAGAAACTGCAACACACTTAAACTTTCAAATGAACTGAAAAATCCACACTTAGGGCTACAGTTTTCAAATCAGTTGCCAGAACTCCTCTACACTAATGTCTGACTGCATGTGTTGCACTTCCCCTGCATGAGAACGCTGCCCTTCATTGGACTAGTAACAAGAATGTTCTATATACTGTAGGGCTAAATCCATCTGTGGGAGTTCCTGGGATTCCTTAGGGGAGCCCATCTGCTCCCCCATCCCAGAATACTCCAGCTCTGACATGCGGCTCTGCAGCATCTCCGCATTTAGCGTACTGCAGTGCTTCACTGGGAGGATCAGTTGCACCTGCCATGCTGTAATGAGCTCATATGAAACCTTCAGCTGAATCTCTCTAATTGCACTTAAAGCAAGATATATATATATATATGTACACACACATATATATATTCTTCTAAAATAGCTCGCATTGCAGAGCTCCCCTGTTACAAACGCTGAGATAAGTGCACCAATTTCTGCTGCCATGTGCATCACACTGCTTCCCATCTCCTTTCAGCACAGGTATCACAAAGCCCAGCTTGAGCTCAGCTCTAAGCAAAGGGCTGTAAGAGCTGAGTGCCGGGCCCGCATCCTAAATAGTGACATGAAAGCAGGAAATAAGTGAAAGGCCTCGAGCAAATGCTCAGCAAGACAGAGCTTTGCCCTTGGGCTTTCCCGAGCAGGGCCACCCCCAGGTGAGCACTGCCTCTGCACAGCGATTCCTGCAGCTCTGAGCAGCACCTCCCCTTGGCCACGGATGCAGTTTGCAGACAGAGGCTCCACCATCATCCAGAAATTAAAATAAATGGGAGTAAAACTTCTCTTGCATCCAATCAATAACAGCAACATTGCTGGAAGTTTAAAGACTGAAAAAGACAAAATCTTTGTTTTTCTTTTCTCGGAAGACTCTGTCAACTGAGCAAGTCAGGAGTTCATTAAGAGCCTCTGAAATTGTCCCTAACCTCCCTCCCTTCTGCACTGTCATTGACATTTTAGTCAACGGCACAATCATCCAGGACAAACTACAATTTGGGATAATGTCCTTGGGCAATGAGTGTACCAAAGCAGTTACTAATGAAGCAGGTAAAGTGAAGCATGGCCACTCTTCTGCTTACCCCCACACTGCTCTCTAACAATTTTTGTCACTATGGATGGCTGGGGAAGGCTGACACTCCTCCTCTTCCAGCCAAAACAACTTGCATCTACCCCAACCAGAAAATCCCTCATGTAATGACACTTCTGAAGGCACAGCAACCATCAAGCTTAATACACCTCCTGTTTCTTTCTGGATAAATCACCTCTACTGGGATGCCATTATCAAAGCCCAACTTGTAACAGCTACTGAGTAAGAGCTGTTTGGAATAGGTCCTCCATCGACTGAAACTCTTCCCATGGCTTTTGTTTGAGGGCTGCCCCCTATTTCTGCACACTGTGTGGGGTTCTGCACTATTTGCATACTTGGAAGACTCAGTGGAGGACCACAGGGTCTTCTTGGGCCCAACATATCACAGAATTGTAAGGGTTGGAAGGGACCTCCAGAGATCATCGAGTCCAACCTGAGTATCTGAGTTCAGAGGCAGACACCACAGCAGCAGTACGTACTGCATTTTTCAGAATAAATGAGATGTACGTGTGCTTTTAGACAATCCCACAGAAAAAAAAAAACCAAAAACGAAGGTTTGAATTCCCCTCCAGATTTCACAGTGTCTGGGAGACTCGCAACTATTCAGACACGGTTTCTATTTAGAGAAAATGAAACCTCCCCCTGTTGATAATGTACTATTATCAGGGATCATCTGCTCCTCCACGCCACCCCCCCACACACACCAGGAGTAATTGAGAAAATGGTTGTTGACAGATGACTGTGTACAGAGAACAGCAGACACATCGTCGCTCACCCAGGAGCAGGGAAGCTGGAGCTGTGAGGAGCAGCATGGCACTGCGTTCTGCTGTGCAACCACGCTGTCACTCCTGTGCTGTTGCAGCTCCGTTCATAGGTGTCACACCAGGCACTCACTTCTGTACCTGCTGCAATAAAATCAGTTACAATCACATCCTCCCCTGTAGCACTGCAAATGTTTTCATATCTAATTCTTTCAATCTTCGTGCAAACATATTACTTTGGTGGGTATTACAAAAAGACAAATGAAATAATGTCACGCTGCTCTACATGACACCATATCTGGGGGAAAAAAAGCTGCCTGTGTACGTGTGGCAGTGTAAATCCACATCATTTAACTCTTCGGGAATAAAAATCGGGACGTTTTCAAATCTTGCAGAGCATCTCACCTTTTCCCTGAAGCACCAAAGCACAATAGCCAATAGGCAGCACAGAGCACAGCGCTGCCTTCTGAACCTTGGGCTTGAAGGAAAATTAAAAGTAAAATAAAATGCCTTGCAAGAAAACAATCGTAGAGTATTCAAACTGTCATTGGAATATGACTGTCCTCAAGGGATGCTAAAAGAAACCATGATTCAATTTCAAAAATGAGAAGGGGACTCCTGGCTGGAGTTAGGCAGGTGATTCAGCACCCCCAGCAGCCTTTACATACAGATGGAGAGGGATGAATGGGGATATTGCACCTGCATGGGAGAAAGGCGAGTAAATATTTAAGGTAGAACCCAATGCAGGTAGGTAAGGTGTGATTTGTTTAAGCCAGATGTATATATCAACACATTTCATCTTAGGAAATACATCCTTGTCCAACCAGGAACCCAGAAATATCAACAGTCCACAGACCTGGACTAACTCTTTAACTCCCAGTGCACTACATGATGTTATGATGTGGAATACCGACATCAAAAAACCATAAAACAGTGACAATCCCGCATTTGCCAGCTGGTCAAAGCTAGAGGATCCATGGTGCCCATCTCAGTGATGGGAGGAGCCCTGGAAGCAGCTCCCTGCCATCCTACTGCCAGGCATGGCCACCGACAAGCCTGATGATCACACATGGCATCACCCTAACTGCAAAACCACATCCCAGCTGCTCCAAACCACTGAAACACACTGCGAGCATCCTGTGTGCTTCCTCACACAAAGTAGGTGACCCAATTTCCTCACACATCGTAGCAGCGTTTCATTTCCTACCCTTTCCTCTTGCATGACACAGAGGATGCCCCGCTGGTGTTTTCCTGCAGTAATGGGCTCGTTCTGCAGCAGCATGTTATGATGCCATAGAAGTGCTCCTCCCTGCTCCCACACAGCCAAAGGCAGCGCCCTGATGGCTCCAAGGAGTGCAGATTTGGGTTCAGCGACCTTCTGCTCCAAAGCAAAGAAAGGGCATGCTTCTTATTGAGCCTCTGCACACACAGAGCACTATTCAAACACATTTACCATTTCTGAGCAGATGTCTTCGTCTGCAACCTCAGAGACACGTGCAGAGGGTTTACCTGGTGGTAGCAAAAGCCTCGTGGCGTTTCTTAGATGGAAAGAAAACCGGGTGTAGCAATTATTCATAGCTGTACATACATTCCTGCAGACAGCCGAGCTGACTTGGCAGAGACTGAAGCTAATTGGGTTTACAGTAGAATGAAGCTTTGATTGAAGTGCTTCACTTAAGAAAATTACACGCGCACCCCCACACCCCGACACCGTTACTCTCCAGCGTGCAGAGCAACCGCCCCACGTATTACTGAGGAAGGAATGCTGAGGTTCTTATTGCTTTGCCAAAGACCCACGAGCGCATGATATGGAGGTGTTTGATCTGCTGTGTGCTGATGCATAATTTAGCGGCAGCAGAGCTGCACAGGGCCGGCATTCCAGGCAGCTTTTGAAGTTTGCAGCCACCCCACAGCCGCTGGGGTGAGACCTGCAAAGGTGGCCCCAATGCAAGGCAGGAGGGAAACTGCTCCAAAACCAATGCAGAAATGGGCTCCGAGCAACCGGAGAGGGGAGATCAATGTAGCCTCGAGTTTGCTGAGTAAATAATTCAGATTCTACCGCAGTGATTTATGAAAATAAAAAGACTAATTTAACGAGCCCAGCAGGCAGCGGGTGCTTCTATTATTTTTACATGTTAAGAGCAAAAATAAAAGGACAGAAGCTTTTGCTTCACTGGGCTTTTCTCCTACATTTCATGGCTGCAGTTTAAAGTAGAAGAGCTCCAGCGTGCCTTGGGGTTATGCTGTGCTCAGCAGTTTTGCCAGCCAGTGAAGAGTCACACGAACGTTGCCTTCACTGCCTGTGCCATGGTGCTCACTTCTCATGCAGCTGCATGGGGAAAGCTTCCAGGTATTCCTGGGAATTACTGATTCTTGGGGAAGTTTTGCAAAATGACAGAACAGAGAAGGACTACTAGAAGCTCTGCATGGAACAGCACTAAAATCTGTTTTTGAATGCATGCTCTTTAGTTGCTTTTCTAAATCAATCTGTACAGAATTGCATGCAGGATTTCAGAGCACAGACCACGTCACAATGACAACTCTGTTACTCTGTTGGGAAAAGCCCCAAATAGTCAGATTATCTGCGTTCTGAAGAAAATGGGAAGACAATGGAGATGTGCAAAGAAGAGATTAAATAGAAGATGGAAGCTCTGCAAGAAGTGGAAGAAAGAAGAGATGGGGGAAATGAAGAAAAAGAAAACATAACTGGAAATGAAGAGTGACATTTTACATTGGCTCAGAGAGCAGTGAGACCATGGCACTGCTGCCCAGAGCTGTGGGTGCCACATCCCTGGAGGTGCCCAAGGTCACAGAAGGGGCCCTGGGCAGCATGACCTATGGGAGATGTCCTGCCCACTACAGGGGGTGGAACTGAGTGGGCTTTAAGGTCCCTTCCAACCCATAAGATTCCAGTTTCAACAGCAGTTGAAAAATGTAAGCTGTTTACAGGAGGGCCATCGACCTGAACAATTGTTGGCAGTGCAGGGAAGGAGCCCTGCTGCACATCCTCCCTGCCACCGAGTTCTATCCATCTTATTTACTTGGTTTCAAAACAAATCTAACTGAAAATCCAGTCTTCAAAGCCATCCATCCACCCATCTGCCAGCTTTATCAATCACCATCCGTGCCGCACATCAACACTTCTTTCACTGACTTCCATATGGTTCATTGCATGAAAATGCCTAATTAAGAGAACAGGATGAGATTCTAGCAAGTAAACTTGGTGACTATCTGCAGAGGAAATGTGAGCTATTGCACTAACTCACAGGAGGCAGCGAGCAGAGCCAGAGGCAATGGCAGGTAAACTGCTGCCTAAGAGCATCTCCAGCTCCAAGAGGTTTAGACTTCAAAATTGCCCATTCACTTGTCCTATGTCTGCAGCCTGACAGCAGGATTCCTCCCGAGATGCTGACGAAGGAGCCGTGCAGCGCTCTGCAAATGCTTTGTCAGATCAAAAGATCTCCCAGACAGCGACTGCAGATCAGAGGAACTTGCAGCTATTAAAGCCAACAATTTGCCTCTCTCCAGATGTAAACTGGGAGGATTCACTGCAGATGCACTGAGAAATGGCACTGCTTCCCACACACACACACCGCACGCGATGGGCTGAGGGGCTGAAAATTCTCATTTATTTCCTGACAGCGTGCAGAATAGAATATGTTCACCCCAAACCCTAACCAACCTGCTGCAAATCCACAGCTCCGAGGGCAGGGAGAGCACACTGCTGTGGCTGTAGCCCATAAGGGGCTGCCCTCATTGCCTACCCGGTGCAGCACGGAGCGAACCAGCTGCCTTGGATAGAAGGGGAAATTATTGCATGGGGTTATTTGGGGAAGGGACGAGACACGGTGTACATCCTCCCTTGGATCAGAAGGACAGTTGGACTCAATGTTCTTAGAGGTTTTTTCCCACCTTAATGATTCCGTGACAAGGAGAGCCATGTGTAGGCATTTCTGGGAACTGGCCATGGTAAATCCTACAGAACACCTTAACACGTCTGCAGCAGCTCCACGAGCCAACCTCCCACCAGCTGTGCAGCACTGCTCCCCCACATCACATTAAGGCAGCAGAAAATACAGCCCTACAGCCCTGTAAGAGCAGCTTTTAACCCCTGATTAAGCAGCAGTTCAGTCAGAGGCTCAGGTGCCCATAGAGCTGATGGAAAGGATGGGGGGTGTGGGGACACCGCACAGCTCCACGAGATGAGGTTACCAGCTGCATGGCCACCAAGATGTGTTGCTGTGGCTACTGGAAGTCCTTTGGCCAGCATTAAAAACAGAAATAAACTCATTTTTATGGCACAATGCATAAAGAGCCTGGCTTCTGCTGGGAGTCTAAATTTGGATTGCTCAGTTAATTTGATTGGATGCTATGAGAGAGGGCACGATTTGAAACCACAAGTCGTTTTTCTCCTTGGAAGAGTGGATAACTGAGTCTATTAATCTGACAATACATTTAAACTGAGTTATTGTGACAAGGGACTTCCATTATCCATTTCATCTAGTTGCAAACTGTCAGAATAAATCTCGGGGGGTTAGGGAAAAAAGCTGCCTTCCTTTGTTTGCTGTTTTTATATGCCACAACAGTTTAGATTTGGTTCACTTTAGCTCACAATACTGTATAACTGTACAGGATGGAAGCCCACTGTAAAACTAGTACAGAAAAAGTTAACTTCAGGGTTATCAGAGTGGATTTTTTTTAGTTAGTTTGTTTTGTTGCTTAAATAAGGAGTACAGACCAACCTGGCCACCTAGAAGTATTATAGCATTGACTTCAGTGACTTTTTTATGCACATATTTTAAAATTATTTAATATCTTCAGAATGGAAAAAGCCATTTCCTATGCTTTTCCTTGCAGAGCAAGTTAAGTTAAACAGCTAAAACTCTTATATCAGAAATGAATCAAAATAAGGCACAGAAGAGAAAGGGACAGTATCGTGCTTAAGACAGTTAACCAGGCATGGCCACCAAGGTTTGCCTGAAGCCAGTCTTACTATGTGGAATACATATAATCTCAAAGCCAGGTGTGGTGAGAACAAATACATCAACAGATCCCTCCATGCTGAAATCTTGCCTATGTCGGGTTAATTTGTTAATTTGTCACTAAGAAATAAGCATTGCTAGCTACTTCAACTGATTTCAATTCTATCCTCTCAGCACCACCCCTGCGAAACAAAGGGAGCTCTCAATCCTTCCCCAGAGCCCTCGGTTGCTCTCAGGAGGTGGCTGGGAGCACAGCACAACACGGCCATGCCAACGCTCAGCCTTTGGGTTTGATCAGACCAGGGAAGCGCGAAGGGACGCGGCGCTCAGCCCTCCACTGCCACTGCGCAGTATTCATTAGTTCTAATTATTTTGCAGGTCCTACAGGGAGCCATTAAAAAAATTAATCACAACTGGAAGGAACAGCAGCCCTACGTGGCCATAAAAAGACAATAATGCATTTTAGGATATACACTTGTTATGATTTATATTAAACAGGATCAGAGGTAGCATATGGCAGCTGTCATAAAGCAGCGTTCATTATGAAAACATGGAGATCATCTCCAAGCTTGGTTATATTCTTACATATTAGTTGAATTTACTTTAACTTACATTCAGATTTTCTGGGAATATCAACTCCTTTTTTCTTTTTTCTCTTTTTTAATGACCACTTTGCTCCAACCCTTGCCCTGCCGTACCTACAAACATTTCCTCTCAGCAGACCTTCTCTTCTCTGACTTCAGATGCACTGTTCACACATTTGGACTGAGGCAGAACTCAGCTCCCATTCTGGGCCAGAACAGCCTCCCCAACTCACGCTCACCTCCAGACAACTGCACGAAGCACTCCATGTACCCAGGAGGACCCTGGGATTCACTCCAGGTTTGCTTTGCCTTAGCTTCAGCCTCCCAAACCTAGTACATGTCTCAAGTGATAAACACCATAAACAGGATACTCTTATTTACTGTAATTAAGAAAAATTAGAATGCCAGTCTATCACCTGAGCTGCTTCTTGCTGCCTGCATCCTTATGGAAGGGAGAAACGTCAGAAAAAAACCAAGAATTTACAGCATAAGTATTTCTGAGAAGTCAGCACAGGAGTGCATCCTGCAGCACACGCTCCTGCTAGATTTAAATATTGGAGAACAGATGCTTCCTATATCCAACATGACCCCACCTCCCCCCGGTGCAACATGAGGCCATCCCCTCTCATCCTATTGATGTCACCCGGGAGCAGAGGCCAACCCCCCTCACCACCACCTCCCCTCAGGCAGTTTTAGAGAGCAATGAGGTCTCCTCTGAGTTCCTCCAGACTGAAGCACCCCATCTCCCTCAGCTGCTGTGCTCCAGACCCTGCACAGCTCCGTTGCCCTTCTCTGAACGTGCACCTCGGTGTCCTTCTTGTACATGCCATCATTTCTTGTAGCAAACATTCAGCATCTCATCCAAGACATACCCACGCGACCAGATGCTGACAAGATATTCTCTCCCAGAAAACAGTTTTTCCATTTCTACTCACTGTGGCACGTTAAGATGAATACTGTGAAACGAGGAAGATCATCAACACCCACTCCAGATTATTCCACACTGCTTCTGCAACACACTGGTAGGAGCCAACACAGATGTCACACTTGAACACCCGGACTGGATCCAGGCTGATGTAAATCCTCATCATCAATCTGAATTCTGGTGACTGTGATGGTGAGAGGGATGTGGCAGGAGCTGAATAGTGGGCTGCATTGGAGCACTCAAGGTTCCTGCCCCACATGGGCCTGACACTGCTGGATGGGCTCACCTCAGCTCAGCACACATTGGATAGAGACAAGGCATTGATTGGGAAGGTCTGAATGAAGGACAGTGACGGATATGTTTATGGAACGTACTCTAAAATGAATCACTTCTGAAATCATTTTTCTTCCTTTGGTGTAATTATAACCATCTTCAATGTAACGTGAGGTTTTTTTGAACTAGGGTATTTATTTCAATTAAGAAGTATAAAGCATCAGATCTGAAAATGCTGTAGGCGATGGATTTGGTTATTTAGAATTATTCTGTGCTAGAATTACACTGACTCCACGGTCCTATATTATTCTCAGACATTACATGAAATTAGGCACAACAGGGAGAAAGAATCAATCAGTCCTGGCTAAGGAATTGAGATAATAATGACTCATTTGATGGGATTGCTCTGGAAAATTAATAATGACGG